CTCACTAAGAAATCTTGCTGGACGGCTTGTTTGGATAAATACAGCAGATTAGGGAGAAACGCCTCCCTGTGTCTAGTTATAGCAAAAGGCTATAACTGGACTTCATCAGAAGAGCAGTCACAAGTGGGCTTTGGCGTCGGACCTGCAGGTTGGAGGCCTAGCTCTGTGCTCTGCACAGCTTACTTATCTGCTGAAGTTTTGTCACCTGTGAAACGGGGGGACAACGGGACCGACCCCTCAGGGTGGTAGTGAAATCAGATGATTTGTACACACTGTTAACTGCCACTCCGGGCCTTCTTTACTAACCCAGTCCTTGTTTTGAGTGAGGCAGCCTTTCCAGGTGACAGGTCAAGCGTGGTGCAAGACTAAGCCAATCAGGAAAATCTTGTTCCTTGAATTCCTTACTTCTCTTGCAGGTAGGTAGGGGGTCAGCTCTGGCCAATAATATTTAAAAAAATTTTTTTGAGATAGAGTCTTGCTCTGTCACCCAGGCTAGAGTGCAGTAGTGTGATCTCGGCTCACTGCAGCCTCTACCTCTCAAGTTCAAGTGATTCTCCTGCCTCAGCCTCCCCAGTAGCTGGGATTACAGGTGCCTGCCACCACACTTGGCTAATTTTTTTGTATATTTAGTAGAGATGGGGTTTCACTGTGTTGCCCAGAATGATCTCAATCACCGGACCTTGTGATCTGCCTGCTTCGGCCTCCCAACTGCTACTATGGGGTAGCAAACAGTGTGTACAAATCCACGCCTGCTGGGATTACAGGCGTGAGCCACCACGCCAGCCATTAAAAAAATTTTTATCATATATATATAAATATATATATATTTTTAGATGGAGTCTCACTCTGTCACCAAGGCTGGAGTGCAGTGGTGCGATCTTGGCTCACTGCAACCTCCATCTGGCTGATAATATGTACACAGAGGTGCACAGGGGTTCTGGGTAAAGCTTGTGGTTCTCTAATACATGGATAGGTACCCTTGCCCTGCCTGCCTCTTCCTGCCTTTAATGCACAATGCACAGTGATTAACAGATTTCTTCTCTCAATCCTGGTACCATTCAATTCGATGTGGCAGAGACTACTGTCTCCATTTTACAGTTCTAGAAACCAGGGTTCAGAGAGGACAAGTCTCCTCCCCAAGGCCGTGCAGTCAGCAAGTGGCAGAGCTGAGATTCAAGTCCCAGCAGACTGACTTCAGCATATGCGCACTTCACTGTTCTGCCTTTCTACCACTGAGCTCTAGTCATAGCAGAAGAAGGCAGTGGGTCTCCTCTCTAGCCCAGAAAACCAGACCCTACATATCAGAAACCAAATATGACAGTACCAGTTCCCTGCTCCGAGCCTTCCAATGGCCTGCGGGGCACTGTCCAAGCTCCCTGCAGTGGAATCGTTGGCTTCCCAAATCTGGCCTCTGCCCACCTCTTTCCACTGCACTCAGCTACACCCACTCCTTGATTCTCTGCTCCCAGGACTCTCCATGCACCTTCCTGCTTGCAGCCCTTTGCTGAAGCTGTACACTATCTTTCAAATGCCATATTGCCCCCGCATGCTTGGGAAATGTGTATTCATCCTTCATGACTCAGAAAAGATTTTCCTAACACACTGGCTGGGTTGTCTGGGCTTCCGCACCCCTGGGCTCATCCATCAAGGCATGTGGGGAATAGCTGTTGCTCCGGCTGGCTCAGCATCTGTTCCCTGGCTCTGGAGAACTGCCCTCCCTTTGCACACTTCGTTCTGGGGGGCTGCCAATTCTAATACTCTGCCCCCAAGCACTGGAGTGGGCAGTGTCCCTGGCCTGTCCATCACGATCCTCTGTCTCTCCAGTGTGAGTGTCTGGCTCATGGGCCAGGCCAGGACTTGTAGGTTTATTCCGGGAGAAACCGGTTTTCCTCTGGGGTCACTAAGCTGGCACCACAGAATTTAGGAGCTGTTTGTGGCCATGAAGCTCTCCCCAATGCAGGGAGCAAGCCTGTCTGCAGTGGTGGAATGAATCACAAGAAAGACAGCTATTTCAGGCTGGGCGCGGTGGCTCAAGCCTGTAATCCCAGCACTTTGGGAGGCCGAGGCGGGTGGATCACGAGGTCAAGAGATCGAGACCATCCTGGTCAAAACAGTGAAACCCCGTCTCTACTAAAAATACAAAAAATTAGCTGGGCATGGTGGCGCATGCCTGTAATCCCAGCAACTCAGGAGGCTGGGGCAGGAGAATTGCCTGAACCCGGGAGGCGGAGGTTGCAGTGAACCGAGATCGCGCCATTGCACTCCAGCCTGGGTAACAAGAGCGAAACTCCATCCCAAAAAAAAAAAAAAAAAAAAAAAAAAAAAAGAAAGACAGTTATTTCTTGATTCCCTGAGTGGAATCTCCCCAAATCTCCCCCCATGACTGCCTGTCGCCACGAGCCAGTGCTTCCACGTCACGCACTTGCTGCTGCCTGTCCCCCGCAGCATCTTCCTCGCTTCCTTGCTAGAATGCCTGATGGATTCTGTTCCCCTCTTTGAGCCTTGTAATCCCAGCAGGTGATTCTCCGCTAGTCTAAAGCTTAAACTCTAAGCCAATCATGCTTTCCTATCCCATCACTGATGAATGGTTTAGACTTGGGCCTGTAACCCAGTTTTGGCCAACAAAGTATGAGGGAGGCTGCACGGGAGATTTGGGAAAAACCATCTCTCCCTGAGACATAATTTCCCTTTTATTTTTCTGGACACGGCTATGTGAGGAGTCAGTGCTAGGAACTGTGGCAGCCGTCTTGGGACCATGAAGGGATGACCTAAGGGGGGCGGTGGACATGCTGAGAATGCTGAGGTGGGAGCACTGATGTAACCTTGACTCTTTGTGAAGAGAGTGCCATTAAGCCACTGTGAGCCTTCTACCCCGGGCTTGCTGTAGTGTAAGATGACAAAATTTCCCCCGTATTTAAAGAGTTATACGGGTTGAGTAACCCATATTTGAAATGGTTCAACCAGAAATGTTTCAGACCTTTTTTGAATTCTGGAATATTTGCATATACATAATGAAATATTTTGGGGACAGAACCCAAGTTTAAATGGACATGATCATAGCTCACTTTGGCCTGAAACTCCCAGACTCAAGTGATCCTCTTGCCTCAGCCTCCCAAGTAGCTAGGACTACAGGTGTGTGTCACCATGCCTAGCTAATATTTTAAATTTTTTGTAGGAACAGGGTCTTGCTGTTACCCAGGCTGGTCCTGAACTGCTGGTGTCAAGTGATCCTCCTGCCTCAGCCTCCTAAAGAGTTTTACAATAATTAAAAATAATTTTCTGAATGAAACACAGTTCATGTTAAGTCCTTATGTGTGGAATTTTCCACTTGTGGTGTCATGTCCGTGCTCAAAAAGTTTTGGGTCCTGGAGCATTTTCGATTTCAGATTTTCGGATTAGAGATGCTCAATCTATCAGTGGATTTTCTATTACTTATAAACAATGGATACACTGAAGAACAAAACCAAGGCAGTTTGAGAGGCACGGAATAGACAGCACAGACACTCTGAGGGGATCCCAGTGAGGGGTGCTACAGGTCTCGGGTTAGAGGTTTCCTCTCCCGGAAAGCCTCTGCATGCACCCCGCAACCCCCAGGCTGGGTTAAACACTTCCTCTCCATGCCTGCTCCCATTTTGGCTCATTTCACATCATGTGCACCACGACAAAGTGGCCAGAGGCCAGGCCTGAGAAGGATGAACGCAGCCAGATGAATCAATGAGGAAAGGGAAACCAGGCTGGAGAGCCACAGGAGGAAGAGGTACATGGGAAAGAGATAGGGAGATGCACTGACTGAAACAGGAACTGTGAGGGCAAGGCCCGGTGAGGGTGGGAGAAGGGGTTCCCTGTGGTGAGGCAGTCACTTACATTTTATTGGTGCCTCGAAGGACTTGGCCACTGTCACCATCACATTGGTGCCAAATACCTAGAAGGAGAGAAGAGTAGTTTGAAGGGAAGTGAGGGGCTGGGGGGAAAGAATGGCTGTCCCTGGGCTTCTAGATGTGCTGCTGCCTAAGACCTAGTGGGAGTGGGGCAGAGAGCTGGGAGGGGCTCCAGTGCAGATCTGAAGTTGGGGTGAGGTAGCCACTGATACTGGTTCTGGGAAACAAAGAGGGGAATTTTGAGGGAGTATAGAAAGAACCTCTGATGGCCCAAGCCAGGCAGGCTGTGTTTGTTCATGGTTCTGTTCCTCTCAAGTGATAAAGTCCCCCAGCGCCACCCACTCAAGAGGGCAAGAGGCTGCCTGGGGCCAGGGAAACAGTGCCTGAGTTAGGCTGACCTCAGTCCCTCCGTGATGCCTCTCAGAGTGAATGTGAGAGGCATCACAGGCCAGGGCTGGTGTGCAGCTGAGCACAGCTGGTCTCTGTCTTCCCAGGTCAATGCCCTTTCTGGGCCCATTCATCAACATTCTTCCACCCCTACCTGAACTTCTCTGAGTCTCAACTCCCTTGCTGAGGGAGCTGCTAGCAAGGAAGACAAACAGGTGGATGGAGCGTGCTCCCAGAAAGAGGTGGAATCTGTTCTCTCTGGCTCCATTTCACAGGTGGACCCAGAGAGGACTCTGGGGTCTGGACCTTCAGCCCCAAACAGCTGCTCTCCATCAGATGACTGGCACTTGGGCCAGACAGGCAGGGTAGTAGGAAGGTGAGACAGCCCTGGAGCTAGACATCGTTGGCATCCCTGCCTGACTCACCCAGAAGACATCATAGATGAAGAGTCCGCCCAGCAGGATGCAGCCAGTGCTGACATTGTTGAGGTGCAGGAGCTCTACTCCATTAAGGGAGAAGGCCAGGCCAAAAAGGTTGTTGGCAATCCAGTGCTGTGGAAAATGGGGAATGAGACCGGCTTGCTGTGCCCCACCCTGCCCTGTCAACCCCATCCTCCCCTTCTGCCCAGGCCCTGGCTACTCACCTTCCTCAGCAGGTACCAGACGCCAACGATGCTGCTCAGGCCCAGGCATACCAGGTCCTTGGTGTCAAATTCATAATTGACGATTTCTGAGCAGAGAGGCTGGGTAAGTCCACTCCCCAGGGTGGGGCTGCCCCTCCCACCTGTCAGCCCCTGGATGGAGGAGGGCATGGCTGTGGGCACTGTCAGGGGTTCACAGGCTGGGGGGCTAAGCCTTGGCTGCCGCACATTGGTAGGAATTTCAGGAAGGGGAGAGCTCACTGGAGCTACCCCAAGCCCTCCAATTTCCTAGAGGAGGGAACGGAGGCCCAGAGAGAATTCAAGCCTGGCACAGGGTCAGTGGGAAGTGGTCTTTGGTGTTAGAAGCACAGGCTTTGTCACTTGTAGCTGGGTGACCCTGAGGGAGGCAGTTCCCTCTCTGAGCTTCGGTTTGTCTGTAAAGAGGGGATAATAGCACCCCCTCTTAGGGCTCCTGTGGGGAATAAGAAAGTCCTTACAATGCATTCAGCACAGTGCCTGGCACATAGCGGGTACTCAGTTAGTGTCAACTGCCACTGAGCCCAGGTCTAAAAGAGAGTCTGAGTTAATTCTGGAATCTTTCTACTTTGCCACCAAAGGGATGAAGAAGGTTAGCGGCAGCCTTAGTTCATTAGCAGACAATGAAGAAGCTAAGAGATGCAGGTCTTAAGGAAAGGCGGGAGTCCCCAAGGCTGCTTTTGTGGGGGGCCTTGTGGTAAACATCCTGATGTTAGAATATTCTTGTTTGCTTCCAAGCTTCCTAAAAAGAGGACAAGAGAGGCTGTGGAGCTTGAGAGTCACAGGGTCCAGCCGCTGCTTTCAGATTCCAGAGTGTAGCCGACTGCTTGCTGCTTGTCCCCTAATTTGTTTTTTCCTCTGTGGTAACAGCACCCTGATTTGTTTTCTTTAAAGTATCTGTTAAACTTATTTAGTATAACCACAGAGGCAGTGTTTTCACGCTGTTACACACAGACACAAACACACATACAGCACAATCAATATCCACATTTAGTCCCCCAAACGCATTCCTTCTGAGGCTCATTTATATGTCTTCATGTGCCACAGCCCATCATTTAAATAATGAATGTTTTCAATGCCAATTCCTTTGTTGACTTTCTCAAGACCCCAACACACAGAGCATGCTGTTTTCCTTCCGCTGTGACTGCAACAATCGTATCTACTGCAGCAGGGTACAGCTTAGCTCCAGGAGAAGTTAAACCTGGACACATAATATTTGCTCCGCTGAGTACAAATTTGATAGCTCCTTTATCAACCTGCTGGTGTGGCAGGATAAAAGGGTATTTGTGAAGCAACCTTAGAGTTGGACAAAAAGGCCCCTTTCTTTGTCTAAAAAACAATAATTCCCCACTTACGGTAAGGATTTCTGTATGTTCGTGGCATCGGACTATTTTGACAGGATCTTTCTTAGGCATGATTTGATTAAGCCATGGTTCAATACCTGGAAATTGCTCTATCAGTTGGCTCTTAATGCCCTTAATAACTGACGTTTTCAACTGGATGCAGTTGGACACACTTTCCTTTTCATCAAACTTCTTGAACATGATCCAGGGTGCAGCGTGCGACAACAGGGAAACAAACGGAATCTGGAAGGCTCCGGCAGAGTCCGCCGCAGGAAGGCCGGTGCGGGCGCCACGCGGACTGTCGGACGGTCAGAGCCGTTGTCGCTAACCGGAAGATGACACAGCCAGCGCGCTTTACGGCTCGGTGAAATATGACAACTTCCGCTCTCTGAAAGCCACGTCACGAGAGTGCTTGGCCTGCTCTTCTTTCGACTGCTGATTCCTCCAATGAGGATCGCTGAAACAGTAGGGCTTGAGAAGCAGGAAGTGATAGGAATGCTTTCTTCCTGCCGGAAGAGGAGACTGGAGGTGCGCAACCTGAGTTAGTTCTAACCGGACAAGAGGCCGACTCACAGCCATTTTCCAGCTTCTCATAGCTAAATGGATCGGGGATATGGATGTCTCGCCTTCTCTCTGGGTGGACAGTGGAGTGATGACACCATTCTGATCCGAGGGCCAGCACTGGATATGGCGGAGCATGAGATAGATAGGGCCTGGGACCTTGAAGACTCTGTGGTACAAGCTTGGCTGTTTTACTATTTTATTTATTTATTTTTTTAGACAGGCTCTTGCTCTGTTGCCTAGGCTGGAGTGCAGTGTTGTGACCGTGTCTTACTGCAGCCTTGAACTCCAGGGCTGAAGTGACCCTCCTGCGTCAGCCTCTCAAAGTGTTGGGATTACAGGAGTGAACCACCGTGTCTGGCCAACCTTAGTATTTTTTGTTTTGTTTTTGAGACAGGGTCTCACTCTGTTGCCCAGGTTGGAGTGCAGTGGCGCCATCTCGGCTTACTGTAACCTCCACCTTCCCAGGTTCAAGCGATTCTCCTGCCTCAGCCTCCCGAGTAGCTGGGATTGTAGGCACGCACCACCCTGGCTAATTTTTTTGTATTTTTAGTAGAGACCGGGTTTCCCTACAATGGCCAGGGGCTGGTCTCGAACCCCTAACCTCAAGTCATCTGCCTGCTTCAATCTCCCAAAGTGCTGAGATTACAGGTGTGAGCCACCTCACCCAGCCCAAGCTTATCCTTAAAAAAAAAAAAAAAAAAAAGTTTATTTGACAGAGGTTCCTCAGAGGTGCACAAAGCAATCATAAAATTGCTGTTAGGGACACAGCAGAAGGTGGTAGGCACCAGTAAGCAAGAGTGCTATATTCCACAGGCTTAGTATTTTACACAAGAGAAATACCTGCTGGGTGGGGTGGCTCATGCCTGTAATCTCAGCGCTTTGGGAGGCTGAGGTGGTGAGGTGGGTGGATCACTTGAGGTCAGGAGTTTGAAACCAGCCTGGCCAACATAGCAAAACCCTATCTCTACTAAAAATACAAAAAAATTAGCTGGGTGTGGTGGCACACCCCTGTAATCCCAACTACTTAGTTGGCTGAGGTGGTAGTGAGCTAAGATCGTGCCACTGCACTCCACCCTGGGTGGCAGAGCAAGACTCAGACTCAAAAAAATAAATAAAAATAAATAATAAAATAAAAATCAAAAAAAAAAAAAAAAAAAAAAAAGAAATACCTGCTCTTTGGTCAAACTACTAATAATCTTGTTACAGCATTTGAATCCATACCCTAATTAATCTGCAAATCCCAGATCTCCACAATTCCCCACAGTTTGCATTTTTTTTTTTAAATTAATTTTTTTGTAGAGATGAGGTCTTACTATGTTGCCCAGGCTGGTCTCAAATTCCGGGTCACAAGTGATCCTCCTGTCTTGGCCTCCCAAAGTCCTGTGATTATAGGCATGAGACACTGTGTCTGGCCAGTTTTTATTTTTGAAAAAGAGCTGTGGAACCCCCTTTTCAAACCTTAGGTGAGGCAGTGATCACACTAAAAATACACACAAATAAAATAGTCACAAAGGCCAAGTTTTACTGAGTGCTATGAGCCAAGCAGCGTGCTGAATGATTTCCACTTATCATTGACTTGCCATCTTTACAACGTGACCGACCGTAAAGGAGGTACTAGATTAACACTTTCATTTTACAGATGGGGGAAAAAAAACCCAACAAAAACACCCAATGCTCAGAGAGGTAATAAGGCATTCACCCAGGGTCCCACGTCTAGGCAGCAGCAGAGTTGGGATGTGAATCCAGGACATGAGATTTCAGAGCCCACTTCTTCCATCACTTGCTCTATTGGAGATCCCCAGTAATGGAGAGACAAAGGGAATGGCAGAGGAAGACACCCAAGGCACACTACGGAAAGGTGGGCAGCACTGACCTTCCTTGTTTTCCCCAGAACCCTGTGTGAAGAGCAGCTGGTACTGTCGATTTGGAAAGCTGGCTGGAAAAAACTTATTCATGAAGGGGCTGGAAGGAAAGACAAAGCAAGTTGGCAAACAGAGCCCCCATGGGTAGTCAACCTTAACACTCCCCTACCCCATTTATAGCTGGCACCCTTGAAGCTGTCCTGAGAGACAGGTGTTATTGTTTCCACTCTACAGATGTGGAAACCCAGGTTCTCAAAAGGTAAGTACTTGCCCAGAGTCACACAGGGGGCCTATAACTCAGCTGAGACTCAAACCTAGGTCTTTGCACTCCTAGTGATTTCTGTACCGCCTTTTTGTTAACATCAAAGAAATGCAAAGCAGAAGTAGATAGACTTTCAGGCAAAATACCATTTTTGGGAGAGCAGAGGAGTCTGGCCCACATGCCACCTATGAGTCCCCTGTCAAGAAGCATATTTGTGCCGGGCGCGGTGGCTCAAGCCTGTAATCCCAGCACTTTGGGAGGCCGAGGCGGGTGGATCACGAGGTCAAGAGATCGAGACCATCCTG